CCTTGAGCGAAACAGCCAAAGAACTGATTTTTTTTGAAGAAATTGGCTCATGAAATATCCAAGGAACAATTTTTTGGTGATTGTTTTCCTATTTTTATCGACAATCAAGGTACGTTTAAACTAGCCGAAAACAATATAATTTCCGAAAGGTCAAAACACATTGATTTGCGTATGTTTCACATCAGAGATTTGATAGAAGAAAAAACAATAGTTTTGAAATATGTTCCATCACGGGAAATGTGTTGCTGCAGTCATTTTGGTGGAGCATATGAGAGAATTGAGCATCAAAGATCCAGGAGGAGTGTTAGAAATGGTTGATTTTCAGTCAGCTCTGTATTGAACTGTTTCATTTAATGTTGAGTGTGCTCTGTAGACGTGTTTTAGATGTTGATATTTGTTTTGAAGTAGTTGTCAATTTTGATAAAATAAAAGTCATTACCCCACTTAATTTTTCTCTTTCCATTACTCAACTATATAAAAATAGTTTAACCATTGCAACAAAAAGTTCAACAAATATGACAAATCTGCAGTTTCTCAAATGTGTTATGTTGGCATTGATAGTAATCAAGAAAGGGTTTTTATAAAGATAAGGCTGTAAACTACAGCTCTATCCATGTAAATACTTCACAGACAAAGGATGTTAAAAAGCAGATGTTATGTGCTCCTGTGAAAATAGTCAAAGAAGAAGTCTTATGATTACATTCAAAGATATTCAATTATAAGTTGTACAAATTAAAAAAACTATGTGAACATGGTTTCCATGGAAGTTTCCATATACCTTACTTATTTCATTTAATAATTCCCATGAAGTACTTACATCGTCCGTTATGCATAGATAAATAATACAGTCCTCCAAAATATAATGGAATAAATAATTTCCATGAGAATAAGTTAGCTTATCATTCTGGGGTGGAATTTTGGAAATGATCTGTTCTGTAACTTCTACAAAATTACCAGTACATGTTGCATATTTAGCAAGAATAGTTTTTGCTCGACTGATAACACAATACAAGATAGGCATCTGAAAAATATTAGAAAATATTATAAATTCATTTTATATTTGAAAAAATGGTCTTGATTTACTAACCGTGTATCCAAAAACAAACACTAATAGATAATAAAGGATTTTAAAAATTTGATTGTATCTCTATTTACTATTTCTTGAATTATTCATTTCATTGTCACCATCTGATAAATGTCATTGATATGTCTATTATCTTGACAAATTGTCAACAATGCGTATGTTCCGTTAATCGCCCAGACTCACCGGACTGGTAACTACTTTTCAGTTTATGGTTAGCACTAACGAACGTAATTTACGGGACAATTTTATTATCAACTGTCACTTTGATTTGCTTTGGCGCGTTGACTTGATTTGTATACAAGATTCTTGGGTTACCTCAATTTTTATTTTAATGGATATAGCAATGTTTTTTTAAACTGATCTATGTGAAAAAATGCAAAAGTTACAGTATTCCAGAACAGATGGAATCTGCCTCTTATATATCATGAGAAGCTGTTGGGAAGTGAAATAATTTTTGCCGAATCTTTGCAGATATGTACTTCTATTCGTGGATAAACATAATTTAGATAGAATATCAACACCAGATATCTCCACAACAAAGTTTTTTCAGTTTGCCAATGGAGAGATAACTCTGAGGAGTACTGAAGTCCTCTAGATCGATAATCCCCATTCTACGATTTTAAGTGTCCTTGTTAATGATTGCAATCAATCAAAAATCAGCATATTATAATATGAAAAGATGTATCACAGTATAAGACCCAATGATGTCAGAGGATGCTCCATCAATATTATAATACACAAATGCAAATTCATTAATTGTCACAAGGGGCTAGCTGTTAGTTGGAAGTTTTTGAAGAAGTCCTTTATGTCATATGGTCGAGAACAAAGGTTTGTTTTCAACTTGAGACATTTCTTTCCTGAAAACCATAATTTGACTATAAAAAGCTGTGTAAGCCTATTTTTAATTATTTCTTACTTGATTTGTCAGTATTACAACGAAAAGTAGATAAATGAAGTGAACTATAGGGTCTTTCATTAAGCATTTCCTATCTTTAACAAAGCGTCTGCGAGATATCATCAAAATTTTTTATTCGTTTGAAAGACCTATTGATGCTATTATGTGTGGAATATAACATCGTTCAAATGTCCGCTGTGGCTTCGCTAGGTGAGCGCATCCGAAACGTCCAATTTTTCATGACTCTGGCACATAAATCAGGCTAAATTTGACCATGACATATAGGTTATGTTTGCTTTAAGGACCGCTGTGGTTTGTGACTTATTCGTATATACCTGCGTCTTAAGGAAAACCCACAAGAAAAAGTCTAATGTGGTCAAATCGCACGATTTTGGTGGCCAGTTCACATCACCTCCACGTGACATGACCGTGCCCTCAAATCGTTCGTGTAGATAACCCAATGTGACACATAGCACCGTCCTGTTGAAACCACATGTCATTGGTGTCCAGGTCATCCAATTCAGGCCAAAAGAAATTTGTAATCATCGACCTATAGTGATGGCCTGGCCAATGTCTTTCTCGAAGACCGATTACGCCGGCAGCCCACAATCCACACCAAACAATGATTTTTTAAGGATGCATTGGATGCTCATGTGGATTGGTATCGTTCCAAATTCGACAATTTTGTTTGTTCACGTACTTATTCATTCAGGGTGCAGACAAAAGTCACGACGCAAAATTCGCCAAGTTGTGGTCTGCGAGAGGCCGAGTTCATGACTTTCGTCGACGTACGGGTGTTGGTCGATCGTTTACTGAACCAGTGGACTCAAATTTATCCACCATATTGCAAATAGTCCTCTCGGTAGGATGATTATGGCGACCGTGAAATGGGCGAAGCGCGCGGTACGTTGCCCGAACAAAACGCCCATTTCGATAAAACAATTTTATTGTTTGCACGTGTTGTTGAAAACTATATCTGTCCATGGTGATTTGGCGAAACAGATTGAGTAAATGACAACTAATTTAACAGATGTAACTTCAACAAGATGGCCATTATCGATTGTCAAAATTCGGAAGTCCCTGTTGGAAGAACCTATATTTTATTGGTAGAATCTAAATCATTATATATGAAGAAAAAAATAATCCTATCAATTTAAAGAAAGAAAACCTCCGATAACAGATTATTAAACCTACTGTGNAGCCAATTCACGAAAACATATTTAACAAAGTGTGAGGAACTACAAAGTATTTTTCAATGTTAATGTCTGATATCTACATTACAATTTACAATTTTACAAAACATTTAGCGAAGTGTGAAATACAAAATATCAACGTCACACCACTACTAACTTGGTGGGCTCACACCGATGGAACATTCATTACTTGGAGGATCTTTGAAGTATGCAGACGTATGTTTGTACAGAGGCACGCGCATGATAAACCCTGTACCGTGCATTCACACACACACACATACACACAAAATCTCATATGAAAAAAATTCTGAACGATCCATGCACCAGACACTTCAAGGTCACATTGCCTTGACTTCACTAAACAACAAAAAAGCAATTAATACGTCAGTGGTGGGGGGACGCTTAGAACCGGGAAAAAATTCTGAACGATCCATGCACCGGCACTTCAAGGTCAAATCGCCTTGACTTCACTAAACAATAAAAAAGCAATTAATACGTCATAGTGGTGGGGGGAGGCTTAGAACCTGTTCAAATCTCCTACTTTGTGTGACAGAAAATAGGACAAAACTTTATACTTTATATATTGCAGGCCATAAATTCGTCAACTGTGTAGAAACAGTGATGGGAGTATATTTTCTTGACTTCTGCTTTTTATTAATTTTAATTTAGGTTTTTAATTTCGTCAGGTAATTTGCTATATATCCTAGTATCAACAGAGTATCTGGCTGACTTGCTTAGACGATGTCTTGGTTCTCTCAGCAGATTTTTATTTCTGGTATTGTAGTTATGGAACTCTGCATCAGTTGAGTAGGCATTAGTGAGTGGTATATGTATAGGAAAGGTACAGACATTATTCCATACTCGGCAAACAGCCGTCGACAGTGATCTCTATGTCCTGAATTAGGGTGATTCTATGAGACCATAAAAGGCACTCAATAAGGTTTCTGTGTTTGCAAACTTTTTGAGTCGACGCAGAACATACATGTATTTATAATTTTTTTGCACAATTCATCTATATGAGCGGAACAGTTAAGATTATCGTCCAAGGTTATTTCAAGGAGTTTAACAGTGCCACCATTTGAGAGTGTGTAATTTGCGAAAAAGTTCAGTTTTTGTGTTTTGTTGCTGTTCAGGCAGATACGATTATAAATATATCAGTGATCTGCTATAATTTCCACCTCCTCTTCCATGTATTCAAGACGATGCAAGTCTTGTTTCGCCATGCAAGATAACGGAATATTAGAGAAAGAATACAGTTGAAAAGTGGAAAAATAATGAAAGATTTTATTTTTAATTTCTTTAAAGAATCCTTCAATCCAATTCGAAATTTTTATTCATGTTGAAAAANTAGTTCAATATTAGACTTTTTGTGACAAAAAATCAGTTTTCACAACCTTCTTTGGGTATTTTCACCTTCCACAATCTGACAAATATAAAATTTGTAATGGGAAACTTTATACACGTGCAGAAAGGGAAACTTTATACACGTGCAGAAAAGAGAAACTTTATACACGTGCAGAAAGGGCAAACTTTTCAGTTCACCCCAATAAATGACCGTAAATTAAAAGCATTTTTTACAAAGAAAAATGTTCTATTTACCAGTAACTTGTCGTAATTAATAATGTTGCTTACCAAAAAAGAGCTAATAAATTATACAAATACTTATCTTAACGTTTCAGAGATTAAAATCTTTCTCCATTGTCAGAATTCGACAAAATCTAAGTCTACAAGCAGTTTTTTTTCGCTGATTCTCTTCATTTCTAAGGAGACGGATATCAAAGTAGTTTAGAAATTCATTCTTATAAGCATCTCTCGTCAACTGGCTCAGATTTTTCAATGATTGAAGAGGACACCATGTAAAACACAAACTTTTGAGAGTTTATCTCAGTTTTATTATAAAATTCAACGATAATGTAATCTTATATTCTAATCTATGAAAAATTTTATACAAGTTTAATATGATACAAATAATATTTACTTAGTATATAAAATTATTTGATACTTCCAATGTAGAAGAGCATCATTTTGCGAATAATAAAAACTATATGCAATATAAACATGAGTCGGTGTGAATTTCCTTAGCAGTGAGAATGAAACGATCAATGATATAATAAACAAATGTTGTATTACTGCGGCAATGATGTAAGCTACAAATAAAAACAGACAACTTATCTATTCAATAGATGAAGTCTATATATATAGACGAGGAAACACGCCTCTTTTTGTTTCAAGTGAAATACAATTATAAAATTTTCAGGACAGATGTGTTACTTGAAGATATAAGTGATATACATTGCACCTCTAAGATAATGGAGCCAACATAATTCTAGAAAAATATTTCAGTCAGTGAAAATATCTTCATCAAATTTGATAGATTTGACATAAAAAGTTCAAGTTGCAAAATTCATGAGATGTCAACATATGTTCAACTCGTCAAATATTATTTGGATATCATTTATCCCAATATTACATAAAATTCATCTAATGAATAGATAAGAGGAGATGTTGTATTTTCCTTTTCACAGTTCAAAAATACTTTTAATCAATTGTTTTTTTGGTCGGATAAATATTTGCAGGGGAAGTTGAATAATAACACACTGTGAATTTTAAAATATCATTTTTAAAATTACATTTTATTTCTTAGACACACATCCTTGCCAGAGTAGTCCTCCACATGCTAAGGAAATTATAAAATAAACAACCACAGTAATAACTATTCCTATAATCACATAAATCTTGACATTTTTCCAGAAAAGTGACCGTGCCAGACTTCTACTAGTTGTCCTGAATGTCATAGACTGAAATATAATCAAATATTATTAATGAAAAAAAAAAAAACTTTTAAACTATAACCTTACTTCAACAATATTTTTTGTAAACAAGAGAAAGTACTGGAAAACATAGGAGCAACTTCGGTTTTTCGGGGATTCGGTCTGTTTGGAATTAAATAATATTCTTTTTAGCTGCCCGAGCTTTCGCTAATGTTTATTAGCTTTATCGAGGGCTGTGCTATGTGAGGATATTTTCTTTGGAAATTTTAA